TGGCGACGGCAACGGCGACGGCGACGAGGGACGGGTGGGGGTCGAGGGCGAGGGCGACGGTGATGGTGAGAAGATGGGCCAGGTTGAGGTTGACGGCTGGGGTGAGGGCGAGAGGACTAGCAGCTCTGGCGTTGGAAGCGGGCAACCTCCAACATGTTGTTTGAATTGCGCTGCAGACATCCATCGACCACAGGAGCAGAAGCAAAGTCGATCCATCTTTTTGTGGCAACAAAGAGAAAGAAACCAAAGGAAATCGCAAAGCTATTTCTTGTCGACTGATGACGAACCATTACTCAACTGGCGGAAGCCGCCTTAAATATAAAAAAGCAATAATTGTTATTAAAAAGTACCAAAACAATATTGTTTTAGTTCTCGTTCCAACGCGGCAAGGCCAAACCACAGCAACAGCGAACGCGTGGTGCCAAGCGCAACGTTTCCGAGAGCAAGATGATGTCACCTTTTCCTGTCTACGGTCAGTCGTGGCCTTCGCCTGGCGGTACCACGTGGAGTGCAGAGAATGCCCAGGGCGAGGGTAACACCCCCCCTCTCCTCCTCTTTCCTCTCTGGCAACCACGCGTGGCATTTTTCTCACCGCAATCCAATAGAGTGTGTGCGCATTTCGGTCACGGCCAAGGAGAAGCTCAAGTTCTGGCCCACAGGTCTGTTGGCCACCAAACCATTACTTCTTCGAAAATAAGTTGTTTGATTTATAAGCTTAATTTATTTTCCATATCTCTCTGGGCACAGAGGCGGTGGTGCAGTATCGGCTGCGAGAGCAGGGTGCTCATGCCAAGCCTCTGCTGGCCAAGCTGGAGGACCAAACGGAGCGCTTCCGGCTGGCCGTGGAGGCCATCGACCTGGCCTTGGCTGGTCAGCCCCACGACGACGACGACAAACCACCCAGCAAGACGGGCGACAACGCGCGAGCGGCGGAGGAGACCCTTTTGCCCTCGGTGCCTCGCACGACCGGCTTTGCGTTTCAGACCAACGTCGGAAGGCCGCCTTGGGTCACCAACGTCCCACCTCCGCCTTGGGCGACTAACGCGCCGACGACGCCGACGCCGACGCGGACACCGACGCGGACACCAACGGCGACAAGTGACAACGGCGATGCCGATGAGGACCTTTACGGGCGGGGCAGCGGTGGTGGTGGCCGGTCATACTTGGGCGGCTTTGCGACGACCGCGAGCGGCTCGTCTTCACCGCCTCAGTTCTCTCCGCCGGTGGTGGCGCGCAGTCAATCGAATCTTCTCTCCGCCGCCGGTGGTGGCGCCTTCGCCGCTTTGGATCTCGAGAGGCCCGCGCCGAAGCGCCCTCTCTCGCTCAAGGAGGTACGCACCTACTCGCTCGGCACGGTGGTGGTGGTGGACTGACGGGGGCATGTGGTTCGGCGGCCGCGTTCGTTTCTCACAGCTGTGCGAGGGGCTGGTGGTGAGTGCGGTGGCGTTGGACAACGTAATGGACGTGCTGAGTGCCGTCGGGCGACATTCCGACGCGGTCAAGGAGCACTGCCTCAAGTTCATCGGTACTGCGCCTCGCGGGCCACGTGTGGTGTGGGTGACCATGACCGTGACTACGCCACTGATGTGCTTTTTTTTTCTTCACCCCCCCCCCAAACTCATCGTCGCCAGGGCGCAACTTCAGTCGGGCGCGCAAGGTGGAGGAGATCAGGGCAGCGCTCGAGGAGACCGTCGACGCACACTCGGAGTGGGGCGCGGCGGTGCGTCGCCACATCGAAAACGCGCCCAGGGTACGGGTCGAGGCGGTGGTGCTGGGTCCGAAGGAGAAGGACAACAACTTGCCTGTCTACGGCCAGCCAACGGCGCAGACCCCCGGGTTCTCCGCGCACCGGGACTGCTACGTCGTCATCCCGCTGCCGCGCGCCGCGACCGAGGCCGCTGGACCCACCGACGATGCGGAGGCGGCCCTCGAAGCCAACCGACGAGTGACGGGTGTCATCGATTCGCTCCTCCGCCACTCCTTCCTCCCCCACCAGCTGCAGCTCGCCCAGTACGATACCACCCCTTCCCCCACCGCATATTCGTGTAATCACCACCTTCGCACACGCACATACACACACACACGCACCATCGCACACGCACGCACACACACCCAACACTGTGCTGATCACTCTGTGTGCGGCGCGGTGACGCAGGAATCACCTCTCGTTCAGCTATTCCTCATCCCAGACTGTGGTCAAGTTTGTATCGCACGCCAAAACGGAACCGCTGCCCGCGGAAGTGATGAAACGGCTCCGGGACAAGGCCCACAGCATCGCACTCACCCAGGCCACGGCCCAAGGCCTGGGCACGTTGCGGCTGCGCAACACCAACGTGTTCGGACATGTGCAACGCAAGGGACCCCCCAGCCCCATGGATATCGTCGTCGGCCTCTCCTCCCCGGCCTACGCGCCCATCGTCTACCAGGTAAGAGACCCCCACTCCACCTACCCGTCACCCCCCCCCTCTCTTTTACTGCGCTGACCACCGGCGCAGGCGCAGCTGCAGGCCACGTTCGAGGTCAAGCCCACACAGCCATGAGCCATGGGCCACCTCCTGCTGTCCACCCATCATCTCGTTCACAACCCAAGCCCGAGGCATAGGGAGAGGGAGAGGCATAGATACATAAAGAGTGGTGGTCAGGCGACAGCAGTTAGGGGGGGGGAAGAGGTCAGCTGGTGGCGATGTTTTGTAGGGCGGGGGGCTTGACGTCGAGGGGCACGGATGGCGGATTGCGCTTCTCCTTCCACTTGAGGCTGATCTTGTTGAGGATCGACCCGATCTCGTCATCGCTCATCTTGTTCCACACTATGTACAGATCCAGCAGCGTCTCCAGCACCACCCACACCTGCACCGCACAAGCGGCCGAAGCACCGCGCAGCACCCGTAAGCACTGTGCTGACTGACTGACTGTTGTCAACATGAACCGGTCGATTGTCGTTTGCGCGCATGCACACACGCGTACCTCTTTCATGTCGACGTTGAGCGTGGCGAGCCATGGTCGTAGGTTCACGCCATCCTTGTGGGCGATCATCATCATCGCCGCCAGCGCCACGATGTGGGGCGGATACATCAGCATCACGTCCGTGCGATAGGAGTCGTTCACCAGATACCTGCACCAACCCCGCAGTTGGGCCGAACGTCAGTTGCCCCCACGAACTCTGCGCTGTGGGGCGTCGTTGGCGGACCTACCAGGCGTTTTCCAGGAAGTTGAGGCTCATCACAGCGTCGGATGTGAATTGTGTCAGCGCACGGTACGGGTGGTACACGATCTGGGTGGGGGGGGGTGATTCGATGCGATTGAGTTTGGTGACGAAAGGCGAGGAGGGTAGTGAAAGGGGAAGAGATTGGGTGCTGCAGGGTCGTACCATCTTGAAGTTCATCTCCTCCATGATGAAGTACTCACTTTCAAGAATGTCGTTCATCGTGTAGGGCCAATTGTTCTTCACTGCACAACCGCACACACAAGACAGCGGATGAGCCCCTTGGGCGCAGTGTCGTGTGTGTGTGCGCGCGTGCGCTAACGTACTGATTTCGTTGGCTTGGGAGGCGAACTGCTTGGCGTGTGTCATGCACTCCTCGATCTTGGAGGCCAGGTAGAGACAGCCCGGAGCGAACAGCCGCGGGTCGTACTCCACGAAACTATTCCTGCACACGCGCAGCACCGGACCACCACACGACGATCGACGCACACCAACAGACAGCATGAGCGTGAGTGCGCAGTCCTGGCACATAGTGAAGTTGAGAGTAGGCGCACTGTACGTGAGATAAAGGCGACGAAAGTAGATGCTGGCGGTGGCGACCACGCGCTGCCGCAGGTGCAGCTTCTTGCCCATGTGCTGGATCACTGTACAATAAATATAATAAATAAATAAGTAATCATTGCAGTACACATTAAAATAGCTGGTACCAGTGGCCAGGGGTTATGGCACCATCGCAAAAATAAATCTTGGCTTTGATGATCTCATCGTGCGAAAGGTAGCCCCGATCGTTGGGATTGCAGCTCAAGATTTTGTCCTTGCCCGCGAGCCACGACCTTGAACCCAAAAACACCACCTCACGTGAGCTGCCGCAATACACACCACAATCATGGTCCGGGGTGGAGGGAGCGCACTCGTGAGAAGAGCTCCAGAAGCTTGCCGCCATCTTTCTTTGTTTTGTTGATTAGTTTTTACTCTTTTTCATTTTTAAATCAATTTATATTTTGTCTTTTGTATTTTGTATTTTTACGTTTCGGTTTTGTACACGAGAAGGAGAAGAGATCAGGCCAAGGTAGGTTCAAGAGAGAAGAGATGGACGCGCGACCATTCAGGGGTGGCCGTTGCCGTTCTCCTCGCCCTCCTTGCGCACCTCCTTGCCCTTGCTCTTCTTCCCGTCGCCGCTGCTGTGTCGGTCGCTGGAGGTGCCGGTGGCGCTCTTCCCTCGCCCGCCCTCCATCTGCTCCAGCTCAAAGTCGCCGTTCTCCTTCGCCTTCTCCTTCGCGCTCGTCGTCTGCCGCTTTCGCTTCGACTTTCGCTCTTCCCCTAATGGGGGGGCAAGGCACACCGGTAAGCACAGTGGGGGGCCACAGAGGGTGGCAGGGGGGGGGGTCATGATGAGCTGGTGGCAGGGGCACGTCGTACCACCGGTGTCTTTTCGTTTTCGCTGCGGCCATCCTTTTCTTCGGCACTTCTTCTGCTCGGCTTCGTCGACAAAGCTTCGAAAGTCAAAATTGCTGCAGGCACGCACGCACGCCAATCGGTAAGTACCACCCAACACCCGCGGTGATGACTTGTATCCAACATTCGAGGCGGAGGCGGAGGCGGAGACGTACCTGGGGACTCGCGGTGCGCAGATGATGCTCAGCCAGTTGCCGATGAGCCCCTTGGAGTGTGGATTCTTCTTCTTTTTGTACAGGCCTTTCAGCTGCTCGCGTGCAATAAAGAAGGCGGGTTCAACGTTAGCATTCGCGGGGCGGGGAGTGGGGTGCGAGTGGGAGGGAGCGGTGCCTTTTCGTTGGTGGTCTGCCCGGCGGATACGAGGGTGCAGTGAAAGGTGCCCAAGAACCCGACGAGCCCCAGGGCCAGCAGGCAGTACGGCACCATCAGTCCTGAATACCAGCCGCCGTACTTGAGGAGGTGCGTGAAGATGTCGACACCGGTTTGGTTGTCCACCTCGTCCATGATGATGAACACCATATGCACGATCGAGATGCACAGCACGTAGATGCAGCCTGCAGTTGCGGAGCAGTTGGTCAATGAATTGCAGAGCAGTTGGGCGGCGGTCAGGACGAGACGATGTGCGACACACGACCGGGGGGGAAGAGGGGGGCGCGTACTGAGGATGGTGCACCACACGAAGGCGAAAAATGTCTGGTAGTTCCGACGTCCGACGCAGTTGCCGATCCAGGGACGTGCAGCGAGGTTAAGGAATCAACAGACCACGCGTGAGGACATATAACGCGAAGAGAAGAGAAGAAGAGAGAAGAGAAGAGGACGCGAAGGGGGGGTGGAGAAGGATATAGTGGTGGTCGAAGCGTTCGACGCAGTTGTTGCACACGGAGCAGTGAATGGCTCGCGGTGGTCGGTAAATGTGGCACGTGTCTGCATGGGACGAGTCGGGCATAACCCACAAGCAAGCCCACACGCAAACGCACATCAGAGAACTGCGCCGTGAATGGATGGTGGCGGTGGAGACTGGTACCGCAGTACTTGATGCGTAGGTTTTCGCCGTGCACATTGATCTTGATGGTCTCTGGTGGCTTCTTGCGTTCGTAGTCCCAGGGATTGTCTGGCGAGACACAAGCCGCCACCCACCACAACGCGCACGCGGTCAGAACGGCAACAAACATGTGACGATATGGAGACGAGTCGGGGAAGGTGTGGTGTGGCCACGCGAAAGAGCCAGGCAAGGGGGGAAAGATGGAGCACCTGGGTTGTGTGAGAATTCGAGGCCGCGAGGGATTATGCCGGGGTCGCGGTAGCGTGTGAGGAGCATGAAGACGATGGAGGCGAGGCCCAGCAAGATGTAGCCCACCAACGGCGCGATCACGACGTACCACCCCAATCGGACGAATAAATAGGGCCATCTGCCAGCACGAAGATAAATTATTCCATTAAATTCAATTGAAAGAAGAACGTGAATGATCTAGATCAAGAATAAATTATCGTTAAAGGGAGGCGGTGGATCCATACATGAAGCCGCAAGCGATGATGAACGGCACGACGATGAAGGAAAGGGCGAGGTAGAAGTAGAGCCGATCGGGTCCGGCTATGAGACGACCGCCGCATTGGAATCGATTTCGCGCGGGCCAGCTTTGATACAATCTCTTCATTCTCTCGCGCCTCGCACGCGTGAGTTGAGGGTGGTCCCTCGATGTGTATGTTTTTGGGGTGATGGGCTGTCGTTGGTCTAATGTGATGGGTTGAGAGGCTCTCTAGATGCAGCACTGTAGATGCATGACCCAATATTCACTTCGATTTTGTGAGAGTCCTCCCGTTCCTCTCGTTGTGTTCTCCCTTCTCGTGCGCACAACAAATCCGGCGACAGTCAGTCACGTCCCCGTGTGTGTGTTGGGCGATCACGTAAATTCACCATTTTCTTCTTTTCTCGTCCCGGTTTGGCGCGAAAGGTGAGCCTCGGGCCACAGAGACCTTCCAGGGCCGTGGCTCAAGCAGCAGCTGCGCTTTTACGCAAAGGTCCAATCGGCCTGGAAGGAGTCAGAGACCGAGAAGAGGGTCTCCTGTGGCTGGTAGGCCAGGGCAGTCGGCGACTTGGTCTTCCTCTTCACGTGGGCCTCGAACAACTGCGAGAGGAGAGGAAGGCAGAGGCGTAAGCCGTGATGTCTCATCAAAAAGCATTGCGCGACAGGGCACGGCATAAAGCGGCGACGTACCGAGAGGTAGGAGAGCTCGATGAAGTCTTCAAGGTCGAAGGCCTGCTTCACGGGAGGCTCATCAAAGATCTTGGCCAGCTTGCTCACTTGCGGCACGTAGTGGTGTTGCAGGGTCTGGTGCGCCACCACCGTGAAGAGACGCAGCATCTTATTAGCCCACACGCGACGCAGCAGGGGTGGCGGTCGCTTCTGAGGTACCTTGAGTTCCCAGAGCGAGCTGCTGAGGGCCTTGCACTTCTGCGGGTCGAGCTCCTCGAACGAGAAAGGATCGCTTCCCTGCGCTCCGCTGTGCGTGTACCGGGCCAGCTCGATCTCGTTCTCCTCTATCGGGCCGGTGCTGACGTTCTTCTTGCCGCTGTTCTTTTCCTCCTCTGCCGGTGGCTGGGCGTCGGTCTCTTCAACGCCGTCCATGCCCTCCTCTTCTCCGTTCTGCTTGTTGGCGCCCCCTCGGCCCCTCCTCCTTCGCTTCTTCTTGCCCTGTTCCTCAACCGGGGCTGCCGAGCCATTGACGGCCGTCTGGTTGCCCTCCACCTTGGTCTCGGCGGACTCGACCGCCTCCTCTTCGTCACCCCTCTTACGCTTGTTGTTGCCATCTGCGCCGGCTCCGTTGCTGCTGCTGTTGCTGTCGAGCATGAACACGGAATCGTTGGCGGGAGCAGCGGCGGCCTCAGCCGAGGGCGCGAGCATGAGCACGGCCTCTTCGTTCTTCTTCACGCCGGTCGCTGTGATCAAGGAAGAGGTCAGACCAAGGGACGTCTGCTGAGCGGCGGTGATGTTGCGAATGGGAACCGTACGTTTCCTGGTGTCGACGGGAAGGAGGCTGCCGCCGGTTGTGAGGTCGTCGGCGTGGTGAAGCATGATCTGGATTTGCGGGTGCCTCTTGAGCATATTGTAGACGAACGCGATCACAAAGAGCGCTCCCGAAGGCGGGGCGTGAAGGGCCATCCTCGCCATCCGCTTCACGAACGCGGCGATCAAGTAGGCCGGCAAGTGCCTGCATAGCGGGAGCGCCCGACGCAAAAGGTCAACCACCGCATGGTTGCACACACACACACACACACACACACACACACGAGTCTGCTACGATACGTACGATGACTTCAAGAAAACGTTGACCAGGCGGAAGAACTTGGCTCGATACTTGACGTGGAAGATGTTGGGCTGGAACAGCGCGTAGAGCTTCTTGTAGAAGTCCGGATAGTCCCTATAGGTGGCCACCATGGGTGTGGTTGGTCACATGTGAACCAACCAACGAGCCAACCCAACATCGAGGCAGAAGACGGATGACGTACAGGTTGTGCTTGGTGATGAGGGTGAACAGGCCATGGAGTGCGAGGAGCGACACCACGCCGCCCACATCGTACGAGTCCTTCAAGAAGTCGATGAGGCGGATGGGCTGCACCATGTAGGGCAGAATATGCGTGTCCATCCGGCGCAAAATGTCCTACATGAAGGCGCGGACGTGACGCGTCAGCTCATTGCAGCAGGGACTTTGGGGGGGGGGGCGACGAGGGGAACCTTGTAGATGGGGGTGGTGAGGGGGAGAGCGAGGAAGGCGAGCCAGCAGGCCTCGAAGATCTTCTTGTGGCCGATGGCGAACTTGACGGCCAGGCTGCCATCGGACTTCTTGCTGGCGATCTTGGTCTGGGTGCGCTTCTTCTGCTTCTTCTGCTCCATGCGCTCGTACGCGTTGAGCTGCGAGCAACTTAGGGTTAGATGCTGTCTGATCGTGCGCCCCCATTTGTTGTGGTGTGGCGGCGTGGTGGCGCTCACCTTGGACTTCTTGTTCTTCTTCTTCGGCTTGGCTGCGGGAGCGGAGAGCGCTCTCAGGCTCTTTGTTTCGACGGGAATCCAGAAGGACGTGATGCGCTGATCGGACTCGGGCATGGTCACCTTCTGCAGCAGGAGGTACATCGCCAGGACCGTGTCGTTGGTCGGCGACTGCTCGGCGGCCGACTTCTTCTGCTCACACAGGATGCTGGAATAGATACAGCGGTGAACATTGACGCAGACAGTAGGCGGAAGGTCACGTGGTGGTGGTGGGTGCTGTACCGCAGGGACTTGAGGGTGTAGTAGCGAATGTCGTCATACTTGGAGAGGTACTTGCCGACAAACTGACTGAACAGCCCCGTCTCCTTTCCATTGCTCTCGCTCACCAGACGCTCTGAAAAGGCCATGCATGGAAGGAAGAGGTGATGAGTAGGACTGACCAAGAGCCAGCCCGACGGGGAAAGGCGGGGAATGGCAAACCGATGACCACGGCAAAGTGCTTGAGCGGGAACGAGTTCTCTTTGTTGGCCGCGTTGAAAGCGGTGGTCTTCTTGTGCAGGAACTCCATCAGCACCTTGAGCGCCAAAGTCTGCCCGCGCCAACGCCACAAAGCGGCGCACTCGCGAGTCAGCAACAGGATTCCCCCGGCTCATGCAAAAGGAGGGGAGAAGGGGAGGAATCGTCGTTCTCACCTTGACTTGGTCGTGCCGATGGAGGAGAAGAGCGATGAGGGTCCGCACGAAGGCCTTGTAGTGGCCCAGCGCGGCAGCCTTGAGCGGGTGCTGTTTGTTCGCCTCCTTTTTGTCCTCGCTGGCACCCAAGTCGAGCACCTCCTTGGCCGCCAAGTGCATGAAGACACGCTGCAGCACTCGCACGGTGTTGAAGGTCACCGTCGCGGTGGAGGCAGCATCCTGCACACCGCCGGGAATCAGATCAAAGGTGAGATTTTTGGGTGATTTCATTTCTAGTATAGAAGATGAAGATTAATGAAAAGAGGGACCCTTGCATACCGTGCATGTGCGGAGGAGTTCGGGGATGTTATCCAATTGTGCCTTCTCTGTTACAGATTTTTCCAATTTGTGCACCTTGGCCAAAATCGCACGTTCGTCGGGCACGGCCGCCGTGTCGTTCTTCACGCCTGTGGCGGCGGGCTTGGCCGGAGAGGCTTGCGTAGTGCCCTTCTTTGCGTGACCTTCCATCTCTCACTCTCCGGTGGTTAGACTGCAATGTATCCAATCTCTGGCGGCCGGTTCTCCGTTTCTTCCCGGGGATGATGAAAAAATCTTTTTCTTTTTTCTTTTATTTCAATATTCATTCATTGGCAAGATGGAAGCACGTCGATCATTCTTCTGGAATGGAGTGCTGCAGCTGAATGAGGTGGGCGAGCACTCCTTTTTCGACATTCGCGTGCGGAAGACACAGGACAATCCGCCTCAGGTCTTCGTGTACACCTCGGATCTGCCCCCGCTGCCCATGAAATCGAAAGACGATGTGCTCAAGGTCACCTTCCTTCTCGAGAACAACGTCGGTACAACCACCATTCGATACAAGATTGCCGACGCCATCTTCGACGGGAAGACTCTCGAGGCTCGCACGGCCAACTGCAACCAAAACTTCATCTCGATCACCAACGACACCTCTGAGTGGCACTTCATCAAGCAGACGAATTGGCTACTCTACTTCGTCAGCGTCAAGATTCCCCCAGAACAGGTCAAGAAATTCATGCCTCTCCTCTAATCTGTACACAGCTCACGATCCCCCCTTTCCTTCTTCCCAATCTTATCCCCCTGTTGTACAATTTACACAGCAACTCTTTGTACAAACGCGCCACACGGTGCTGTTACACTGCTCCACACCCAACCAGTATCATCAACACTGTGCGAGGGAGCTAGACAAGAAGAAGAGTTTTTAAATAGAAGGGGTTCAAAAAGGGGAGTGGAGAGGAAGAGGCGGCTAGAGCACGAGCGAGTGGACGTGCTGCAGCTGGCGCGGATTAAGGGTCACGCGCGTTCTGCTGCCGTGCTTGAGTCGGCCCAGCAGGTCCTGCATCTGCGTTCGCACTTCCCCGGTGCTGTTGTGCTGGTCCGCTGGCGGTGCGCCGGCCGCCGAGAGCATTGGCACCTGCGGGAGAGCCAGCTTGCCCACCGGCTGAGCCTGCAACAGGGTCTTCACGCACACGCGAGCAGAACAAACCGGGTCAGTGCGTGTGTGTGTGTGCGCGTGTGACCAAACCCAAAGTCTCAGCGTGGGCGCAGTACCTTGGAGAGCTGGGCCGAAGGGAACGACGCAAAGTCAGAGGTGATCTTGGCCGGCGAGTGTGAATCGAGGAGGGCGGCGCCGAGCTTCTCCTTCACCTGCTTGCATTGCGCCTGCAGAGAGACTCTGTCAGCAACCCGCAGCCCAACGTGCGGCCTGATGCAGCCCCACGACACGATCCTTCAGGCGGGAGAGAGGGGATACCTCGAGCTTGACGGCAGCCAATCTCCTGTTGGCCCATTGCTGGCTGGGCGTTTCCGTGCCCGAAAGGGTCAAGTCGATCACCTGGTCCAAGGGCTCGCCGTTTTCAGTTCACATCCCCTGGCAATCGGATGGGGACTCTTTGGAGGGGGGGGGAGGGGCGTACCTTGCTGGCCGCCTTGACGGACTGAATCTGGGCGAGGAACTGCTGGGCCTCAGCGTTGCGCCTGTTCATCGCGGCGATGGTGGCGGTTCTCTTCTTCGCTCGCGCCTGCTCGACCAGGTCCTCCTCCTCCTCGGCGTTCTGGTCCTGCTGCAGCTGCTGCTGAAGGGGCGTGAAGTGGGCACACCTGCGGCCACGGGCAGGCGCAGGAGCAAGCATCAGTACACATGCATGCGTGTCGGCGGTGAACCTTGGCGGGGTGCGTGTACCGAGCTTCGACGTCGGAGATGGGCGGGAGAAGCGTGCGCAGCCTCTTCTGGCCCTCGCGCGCCAGGAGCTCGCTGTTCTGCCGCCGCAGTAGGACCAGCGCCCGCTTGAGGGCCTTGATCTCCACCGACACGACTTCGAGCGACGGCAGCTCCGATCGCTGCTCCTCGGCCTCCTTCTTGGCGTTTTCTGTCCACCCGCAACCACACCACCGCCGGTTGGTGAGTAAGCGCCAGAGTCAGTCTTGGGAAAAGAGGGCAGGCCTGCTTACCGAGGTGTCGAATGTCCACCCGCAGGGACCTGATCTGCTGGCGCAGCTGTTCGTTCTCCTTCTGAATGGTCTCCATGGCGTCCTCGTACATCTGCGAGGCAGACACGACGCGGGCCAGGAGTGAGTGACCAGCGAGGCCCAGAGAAAGACGGGCGCGCGTTGCGATAGTATACCTTCTCCTGTGATACGTGCTCGGCGGTTTGTTTCTCCATCTTCTCGGACAGCTCGGCCTCCTTCTTCTGAAGCGCGGTGAGGTGCATCTGGAGGACGTTGTAGCGGGAAATGTGCTCCTTGATCTCGTTCTCCTGCAGGCCCAACTTGACAAGCCGTTCCTGCGCGAGGACTTCCGCCTCGATCAGCTTCGACCGGACCGAGGCCGCCGCCGCCAGCTCAGCTCGCACGGCATCAGCGCGCTGCTTCCAGCTCGGCTGAGACTCTGTTACACCCCCCCCCCAATGGAAGCGAAGCGTCGGAAAAAGAAAGAAAGCGAAAGAAAGCGAAAAGAGAGGCGGGCCAGAGCGGAGGGAGGCAAAAAAACCTGTGGCTCGCAGGGAGGGCGAGTTGGGAGCGGAGGATCCGGAGGCCGGCGTGAAGGAAGTGGACGAGTAGGGGGTAAGAGTCTTCGCTGCCGGGGCGCCTGCGGGGGCGGGGGTCGAGGAAGATGAGGCGGCGTTGGGGGTGGAGAGAGGGGTGATGTTGATGGAGGCGTCGGGGTTGATGAAGTTGGACGAGTTGAGGATCTTGTCGCTCACCCCGACGATCGACGAGTAGGTCTCCTCCAACAGCGCCGAGAGCCACTTCCACTCGCTGCCCTTCTCCTCGGGTCCGTCCTCCTGCTCCTGGGCCTCGTTCTCGCTCCGCTCCTTCTCCTTGCCCTTCGGCTCCTGGCCCGCCTCATCCGACTCTTGCTCTCCGTCGCTGCTGCTGCTCGGCTTGGCGGCGGTGGTGGCCTCGAGGTCCTTCATGTCCTCCTCTTCCGCCGCGGAGGCCTTGTCCGTGATGACCTTGGCGACGATATCGGGCAGCACCGACCTGATTTCCTTGTCCTTGGTCGAGTCCTGGCCCTGCTCCACCGGGGAGGGGGAGTAACGCGGCGCACGAGGTTAGCTCCCGCTCGCGAACGTGCAGTGGTGTGGTGTGGTGTGGTGTGTGTGTTGGTGTGACGATTACCGTGGCAGTGCTCCGGAGGTAAACGAAGAGCTGGCGGAAGACTTCGATGGCGCCGGAGATGGTGGTGAAGCAGGTGACCATGTTTCGCTCCAGCTTGGAGGCATAGTGCCGCGGCAGCGAGGGCTTCTCCTGCAGGTGCTTCTGCAGCTTGCTGGAGTCGTGGGGGGGGGAAGAGCGTGAGCGAGAGGGCGAATAAGTGGGTATAAAAAAATGTGGGAGTGGCGGGGTACCGGCAGACTTCGATGGCATCGCGAACCAACCGAATGGGGATGGCCAACGAGGCGTTGGCGGTGCCGCGGGGCGAGGCGGCTCCGGTGGCGCCGTCGGCGGGGGTCGGGGTCTTGAGGAGCGTCCGGAGCTGGTTGTAGAGCACCAGGAACACGTTCTCCACGAAGAGGATGCCGTCCACCTCGTGCCGCAGGGACTTCCACTCCGGAGGGCAGAGCGCCGCCACGCCTACGTTCAATCGGGAAGAGAGGCGACGCGTTGAGACGAACTGCACGTAACGTGCAGAATGAATTGAAGCGTACCGGTGCCTCGGGCCGACAGCTGTCGCCTGAGCGGAATGCCGTCCGAGCTGTCGTTGAGAGCGCTGCCCTCCTCCAAGATGTACTGGTTGACGAGTCGGCTCATCTTGTCCTGGACCGACTGTGCATTCCCCGAGAGAAAGGCATGGAAGTAGAGGGGGGGGGTAGCCCACCATCATGGTTAGCAAAAGGACGGTTTGCAAGAGGCCAGGACGTCAGTGAGGGAGGCTATGGCATACGCGGAAGAGAGAGATGTCGTAGTTGTGGTTGAGCTCCTCCTTTTTGATGAGCTGCAGGATGATGTCCATGGTGCCCTCGTAGGGCAGCAGATCGAGCGCGGCTCGCCCGGACCTGACGAACACCTCGGGCGGGCATACGCTCGGGTCGTTGATGACCTTGCGCAGGCTCGACGTGTAGAACCGGACCTACGCCGACGCACCGACGCACCCACGCCCCAACCCATTCAGCGAACACGTTGGGTAGCACAGATAGGATGAAGAACTAAGGTACCTTGGACACGCCCCAGTAGAGCTCCCAGGCGAAGAGGAGCTCGTCGTTGGTGTACTGCACCTCGACGTCGTTGATGAGGTTGAAGGAGAGCTGGTCGAGCTTGTAGTAGCTCTGCAGGTGGCCCATGAGGAGCTTGGACTTGAACACCAGGCGGTCCAGGGTGAGCAGCAGCAGCAGCGACTCGTTGTCGCGGCTGAGGATCTCCTCCGGCAGGAACGCCTGAATGAAGGACAGCTGCTTGCGCGCCTGCAGCACGTCCAGGCGGAACAGCTCGCGCTCCAGCCCCATCGCCGCCACCTTGGTGACTTGGGACTGCGCGAGAGTGGTGGTGGGTGGTGGTGGGGGGTGGTGGGTTAGAACCTAGGTCGACAGCAGCAGGCGTTGTGGGTAGAGGGACTCTACCTTGAGCTGAATGTTCTGGTCCAGGAGGGCCTGGGACTTGGTGGAGAGCTGGCGGGCCTCGCTGGCGAGGTCCTCCTCCTTCTCCTCGTACTGCTTGACGTGCAGCTGCAGCGAGTTGACCTTCTCCCTGAACTGGTCGATCGTCTTCTCGCGGTCCTCGATTTCGCCCTGCTGGTTCTTGATCTTGGTCAAGCTCTCCAGGTACTGGATCTCCTTCTTGTCTGTTATTATTATTGTTATCGTCGCCAGCAACACACGTGTGTGTGTGAACAGGCGGGTCAAATTAATGGAGCGCAGCGTGGAAAGGGGATGGGAGACACGGCGTACACAGAGCGGTCCTGAGCTGCTTCTCCACCTCGGCGTGGCTCTCCTCCAGCTCCTCGCTGACCTGCTGGAGCTGCTCCAGGTCTTCCACAGTCTGCTGCAGCTCTTGCACTTGCTGCAGAGGAGATCCAGAGATCGTTGACAAACAATACGCACCATTGTGTGAGTTTGAGTGCGATCGAGAAGAAGCTAAGAAACAGTCGGACAGGGCACGAGGTGGGTTACCTCTTCGAGTTCGAGCTTCTTGTCGCTGAGCTCCTCGACCATGTCCTCGGCCTCCAGGGCGACGTCGAGCTGCTCCTTGAGCTGCTCGATCTTCTCGTTGGCCTTCTTGACGTCGTCCTTGAGCTTGACGATCTTCTCCTCGAGCACGGGGATGTTGTCGTTCTCCCGCTCGAGCTGTCTGATCTTCTTCTCGCTCTCCTTCTTCTCCATCACGCTGAGGTCCTTGAGCTTCATCAGCGCGTCGGTGAGCCTCTGGATCTGCAACTGGAGCACCGCCTTCTCGCCGTCGTCCCCCGACTCCCTGGCCTTCTCTCGCCGACCGTCATCGTTGTCGTCGTCTTCGTCGGTGCCGCTCACGTCATCGTCGTCCTCCTCATCATCGTCTCCCAGGCTGCCGATCTTGAACTTGATCTTGATCTTCTCCAGCTTCTTCTCCAATGCTGCAATTTACAAAGTGCGAGTGCTGATTCGTGAGCGTCGAAAGATGGGGTTGTGCATGGCGTGTTGGGTGGGCGTTGGGATGACGGCGTACACTCGGCTTTCTCTTCGGCGAGCTCCTTGTCGAGGGTCATCATTTCGAGGGTCTCGCTGAGGTTGGCCTGCTCGTCGGTCATTTCCTCCTTCTCCTCGTCCCAGGCCTTTTGCAGCTGCTCCTTCTCGTCCTCCCACTTCCTCTGCATCTTGGCGATTTGCTTGTCCCGATCCTACACGCGCACATATACCAGCCCCGATCGCGGTTGGCTCCAAACGCCCAACACAGGTGCAATGTTGCGTGTGCGTGTGCGTGTGCGTGTGCGTGTACCCTTTTCTCCCTCTCCAGTTCCTTGGCGATGGCGTCCTTGTCCTTGGTCACCTCGTCGAGGGACTTTTGCAAGGCCTTGAGCTTCTGCTGCGCGTCCTTCTTGAACTCGCTCAGCTCTTGCAGCGTTGTCTGCAGCACACGACAGCACAGGGCAGAGAGAATGAGCAACGCCCGGCCCAACGTGAGAAGGGGTTGCATCGTGGGAAGGGCACGCGTACGAAGAGGGCGGTCGACTCGGCGCTCAACGGCGAGGCGGCCTGGGCGAGCGACCTGGAGGGCGTGCTCGTCGTGGTCGGGGTGGACGGGACCGCTGCAGGCGTATTAGAGACCGAGGGCGTGGACGGCGCCGACGGGGTCGAGGTGGTGGTGGTCGTCGTCGGCCGTGGCGCCGGTGCCGCGAGGGTGGGCGTGGGCAGGGCAGGCTCCTCCTTGCTCTCGGCCTCGGCCTTCTCTCCCTTCTCCTCCACCGCTTCGGCTTCGGCTTCGGCCGGTGCGGAGAAGGCGAGGGAGGGCGAAGCGACGGTCGACGAGGTCGGCGAGGGAGGAGTCGAGGAGACCGGCGTGGGAGCCGGCGAAGAGGCGGCCGGCTCGCCGCGCGGGGAGGACGGCGCCGAGGGAGCGGGCGACGGCGCCTTGGACGAGGCCGGGCTCTTGACCGGCAGCGAGCCTACTGCCGGGGGCTTGGCAGCGACCTTCTTCAGCAGCATCTACACGGCCGCCCCAACAGACAACACGTTGATGAGAGAGAGAAGCAGAGAAGGGGGTCGGCTTTGGGGCGAGCAGGCGTACCACTTTGTCTTTTGTGACGAAGAGACCGTGGTTCATGGTGCATTTGAAGTACCGCACGCCTTTAACTGCGCCGTCGTGGTTGCCATCTTGATTGGAAGTGGAGAGCGTGAGCGATCTGGTTGTGAGATTTGCGGTGGGGGGGGGGATTTCTCCAACTTTGAGAGTGAGATGAAGTGGAGGGAGGCGGTACTTGGGACATCCAGCTCAATGCCCACCCAGTTGTCCTTTGATGAAAATTTGACTGCGCCCACGAAGCGTACTGTGCCTCGTCCCTTCTCGGGAACCTCCACGCGCGACCCCACCTTCAAGGTCGGAACCTTGGACGCCGGGGCCGCGCCCGTGCCCGTCGTGGCGCTCATTTTCGTGATCTCTCTCTTTCTCTTTCACCAGATGCAAGACGTGCTCCCGCTTCTTCTGGTTTTCCTTTCTTTTCTCTTTGTTGTTTTTCTCTTTGTTTTCTTTTTTGTTGCGCGTGAACGCCCACAGTTCACTCCCTGGCAGCGCACACGTACCAGTTCTCGTGATCGTACGCTGACTCCACGATGCGCAGACCACCCGCGGCTTGCACGATCCGCTCGAGCTCGCCTTTCACAAAGAGGTGGTAGTATCTGCGCACACCGAACCGAGCAGAGCGATCAGAGAGATTGGGTTGATGATGATGCCCACACATGAGGGGCATGCAGGAGAGAGGTACCGGTGAAACACTTGTGCGCTATCGCCCGCTTGCCTGTGATCTGTCGGTGTGGACTCTTCGGCTTCCGCCGGCTGTTGTTGCTTTGGTTTGTCTTCGTCGGCGTGCTGAGAATTCTCGTCACCACCATTCACACTCTCTCCGCGCTGCTTCCTCTCCAGTTCCTCCTTGGCGCGCTGCTTCCTCGTCTTCTTCTTTTTCTTGGGCTTCTTGGGCTCCTCTTGCACCGCGGCGCCCTCTTGGCCCTTGACGAACTTCTTCTGTAGGTGCCACGGTACAAACACGTCCTGCTCGGTGTACTTCTTGTTCTTCTGCACTCCACAGACCACCACCACCACCACATTTACCCGGGTAAGTCCAGCTCCGCGGCCCGCTAAGCGAGTCAGGCGAATTCGACAGTGCCGCGTAATGGGGAGGCCTTGCCTGCTCGAACGCCCACACAGTGATGAGCATCACCCCGCCCGGCCTTAGAATCCTGGCCAGCTCCTGCGCACATGTACCACAGCCGGACGATCAGTTGCGAGAGGAGACTGTGGTTTTGCGAGTGGGAGGGGCCTCCTACCCGTATGGCCTGGATCCTTCGTTCGTCGTTGGACATGTGGTGGATGACGGCGATGGAAATGACCGCTTCCTGCACAAGTGTCACCCACCGCGGATGAAGATAGGAGGTCAACCACGCAGGAGGAGCTGCAGCAATCCCCATGAAGACCGCAGGACAAAACGCACAAAGCAAGAGGTGCGGTAAGGGAGGTTGAGATTGTCGGCGACCAAGCTCTCGAAGCCTCGCTCTCGGCAGATGGCGATCAGCTCTCCGCTCCTGCAGCAGGGCGTGAGCGTTCACCTACGCCGATATATACCGATGAGGCGTGCGCGAAAGGGGCAAGTACGCGCGGGCACCCACCTATCGGACCCGACGGGGTAGCACAAGGGGTTGACGTGGAGGTACTTGCCATTGCCACACCCCACGTCGGCCAGCAGCGTGCCCTCGGGCAGCACTTTCAAGAACTTCTCCACCAGGGGCCACGGCTGCGCCCCAACGGGCAACGAGGTCTCGTGAGCGAGGAGGGCGCAACGCTCGGTCGAGCGGAGGAGGGGGGGGGTTTGGAGTGGTCCGTACTTTGTAGCGGGTGGAGCTGAAGTGGGTGGCAATCTGGTCGTACACTGCATGCACGTGTTTCTGTTCCAATGCCCCCGGGCTGGACTGCTGCTCCAGGGTTGCCTCCGGGTGTGCTCGATCGAGCTCCGTCTTCTCCATCTCTTTTGTTTTCTCGTTTCTTTTCCCTTCACGGCATTTTCATTTCTTAGTCATTAGCGCGTTGTCCCAAGCGGAGCCCCTCTTTATCGGCACGGGACCAGCACAACACCTAAGGTGATATCACTCACGCACTGGTGAAACCAGGTCCCAGAGAGAGCGTAGAAGTAGACGACATGAACACGCCGGGCGATGGAGACGTAACGTGCTGGAAGTGTGGGCACCACTACGCCCTGCAGCGCAAATTCTGCGTGCAGTGCGGTTCCAAGCCGACCCGACCCGGTAGCACGCCCACGGGGTCACCCGCCCCCTCCACCCCACCCTCCCCCGTCGTCGCCCCCCGCAACCGCGCCGGCACCCCCTTCCCCACCAACATCCCCATCCCCGCCTCCACCCCCGCCCCCGCGGCCACCCCCTCGAACTCGCTCGCCGTCCCCGGGCCTCGCCCCACCCCCGCAGCCCACAACGCAACCGCCGCCCCCGCGCCTCGAGGAGGCCCCACCCCGAGCCCGAGCGCTGCACCGATGCGAGCGGCCCAACCCCAGCAAGCCGCCGCGCCGCCGGCTGCCACGCCGAGCCCAGGCCCTCGGCCGACTGCCCCGCCGCCCA